AACCCTGGTCTCCAGAGTCATAGTCCAACTCTCAAACCACTGAATTACTTGATAATTGAGGTGAGGATTTTATTTTATTTTATTTTATTCATTGATTTTTATCCCTCCTTTCTCCCCAAAATTGGATGATAGCTTGTGGCCCTCCAAATGTTTCCAACCACCACACCCATCATCCCTTACCATGAGCCATGCTGGCATGAGCTTCTGGGAGATGTAATTCAACAACACCTGGAGAGCCACAGATTCCCCTCCTGAATTTAGATAAATGTCTACAACTTGAAATGGAAGAAGTTAAGGATTCAGGTAATATTTCACACATACTCCAGCCTTAACATATGACCTTTAACAGAGGAGTAAAATTCAGTTACACTCTACTCTTTCCCTTCTCTAGACAGTCCATACAAGCAACAATTTCATATGTGGCATTGTGCTTATGACGTCCCATATGCCTTCATGCCTGCAAGACAGATTCACAGTTGTTAAGTGGTGGGCGTGAAGAGAAGCAGCCCTACCACAGCACTGAGATTAAAAATATATTCCACGGTGCTTTCACCGCTGAATAAATCTGGACTAAATATGCACCTATGCAACATTCAAGGAGAAGAGATAATGTACTACCTTACACCATATAGTGGGTAAACACACTCAAGGATGTGCTTGGTGTGCAGTATTGTTTGGCTTCAAGTAGTTCCTGACTTATAGCAACCCTAAGGCAAACCTATCACAGGGGTTTCTTGACAGGTTTCTTCAGAGGGGGTTTGCCATTGCCATCCTCTGAGGCTGAGAGACTGTGACTTGCCCAAGGTCACCCAGGGGGTTTTCATGGTTGAGCAGGGATTCAAACCCTGCTCTCCAGAGTGATAGGAGTTTATCACATGGGAGGGATCCCGTGCAAAAATGAGATTTAAAACAGGAAAATAATAATAATAATAATAGTTATTTATACCCCGCCCCTCTGTCGAACAATCGGGGCGGCTTACAGCAATTAAAATTCCAAACCCACAAAAGCAGGTTGATTTTCACACAACGTCGGAGTTAATGAGCATTAACGTGACATTAACCTGGGCAGAAAGTGGACAAAACGCAATTCTTTTTACTTTTGGAACATCCCAAAAGTAAAAAGAAACACATTTTGTCCACTTTCTGTCCGGGCTAATTGCTCATTAACCCCAATGGGTGTGAAAATCAACCTGCATTTGTGGGGTTTTTACAGGTTTTAAATCATGTTTCTGCATGGGATTTGGGCAGTTTGCCCCAGTGTGATAAACTCCATAGTCCAATGCACAAACCACACAGGAAGGCAAAATTATAACCCAAAATGATCTCCTCCAGGATCCCCATAAATAACTTTTTCCTTCAGTCCAAATTTCAAGCATTGCAGAGGGTGAAACACTGAAAACTGTTCACATCTAGAACTCTTACGATTGTTCACCAAACTCTTAGACTTTGCCTACCCCTTTTCTATGGATACCAAAACTATATTACTAAATGCTCAACTGAGGTTTTAAGTCACTGCAATGCTAGAAATTTGGGGGCTGAAGAAAAATTTATAGTAGTGGAAGAATGCTTACTGATGGGCAATGCCTTCTTTCTCTAAATATTCACATGTCTCTTCCCCTCATAGATCCCTCACTGGCTACCAGTTTGGGCTTTTGGTCCTGGTGTTTAAGGCAAATGATTATTGGCAGTTCCACCAATACGTATGGCTCTGTCAAGGCTGCAAGCCTTTCAGGATCTGGCTCTGCACATGTGGACCACTCTTGCTTTGCACCTCCAGCTGGATGAGGATCTTACCACCTTTCGTAAAGGATTGAATACCTTCCTCTCCTATTCACTGAATTAAATTGCTGAGTGTGCCTAAAGTAGCCAAGTTGGGTAGCAACTGATGAGGACTTTGTTTTAGTATATTATTATATTATTTTAGTATTTTAGCATTTTATAGGGTTGTGTTTTATCATTTGTTTTTGATTATATACATCTGATGTTCCACCCTTTGGTGAAAATGACATTATAAATAACAAATAGTATTATTAGAGCCAGTGTGGTGTAGTGGTTTGAATGTTGGACTACAGTTCTGGAAACCAGGGTTCAACTCCTGGCTTAGCCATGTAAACCCACTGGGTGACCTCAGGCAAGTCACACACTCTCAGCCTCAGAGGATGGCAATGGCAAACCTACTCCGAAGAAACTTGCCAAGAAAACCCTATGATAGGTTTGTCTTAGGGTTGCCATGTTGGAAATGACTTGAAAGCACACAAAAACAACAACAGTTATTACTGACTGGATTGGCAGTGAATATTTCTTCAATACTGGCAAAGGGATTGGGTGCACCACCATACCTAAGAACAACAGACTAGTTTAAGGACTAAAAGACAAAAAAAAAAAAAAAGAAATTGCAGGCATGTATGGGAGGGGAGTGGTGTGTGTCTCCATGCACACTTTTAAATCACTTGTCAGTTCATAGCGACTGCTATTAATTTCATAGGGTTTTCTTAGGCAAGGAATACTCAGAGAGGGTGTGCCATTGCCTTCCTCTGAAATACATAGCCAACAGACCTGGTAAAGAAAGAAAATGAATTCATGTGTGATGTTGTACTGGAGAAGAGTGCTAAGGGTACCATGGCCAGTCAAAACAAATGGGTCCTAAACAGATGAAGTCTAAACTCTCCCTGGAAGCCAGGATGACTAAACTGAGGCTGTCATACTTTGGCCACATCATGAGAAGGCCTGAATCATTAGAAAAGACAATAATGCTAAGGAAGGTAGAGGGAAGCTGAAAGAGAGAAAGCCCACATGCCAGATGGCTGGACTCAATAAGAGAGGCCAAGGGTCTGAACCTGCAGGAGCTCAGCAGAGTGGTTAAGGATAGGGAGACTTGGAGATGTCTCATCTACAGGGTTACCATGAGGTGAGGTTGACTCACAGCAGTTAACAACAACAGGAGCACCTCGTGTTCCCTGGTTATTCTTCTTCAAATTACTAAGCAGGCCTGGCCTTGTTTAACTTCAAAGACCAGGCAGAATTGTTTTCTACCTTTCTACTGCACAATGAGGAAAAGGCCAAGGAGTTCAGAAAGAATGCTGCGGCTGGTCCTGGCATTTCCTACCTAAGGTTTCCTTACTGTGCCTGACAGAAGGGCCAGCAATGATATGTAGTTAATCCTTTGTGAATATGCCTTCAATCCAAGGACGTTGTCTAGCAGCAAATTCTTGGAGAGAAAAAGAAGTTGTTTGTTCAATATATCTTAAGTTAGAAAAATTCCACAATGCATTGATTGGACCACTGCTTTTTTTTTTTTAAACAGCCCAAAATCTGCTGTCTAAAATCCTCATACTGGCTATAGGTTCTACATGAAAATATGAGGCTTCCATTGACTCCCTGCCACAAGATCCCATACCTGCTTAGGATTTGGATAAAGTGGCTTTCTGATTTCCCTTCAACTTGTCTCATCCACTGTTTTACAGCAGGATTCTTCTAATTTTATTAGCACAACCCAAATGTCCCAGTATTATAAGTAAGCTTTTAAGTTCTCCAGAACTCTGCAGCAGGCTGGGTATTAAGCAAATAGAGATGGCAAACGGTGTTATTGCAATAGCAATAGGAACCATTATGTCCCTTCAGATGTTGGACTGCAGCTCCCATCATCTCTCACGGTGAGACTCTCTAAGGCAATAGTTCCCAAACCTTGGTCTTCCAGGTGTGTTGGACTTTAGCTTCCAGGTGCCCCAGCCAGGTTGGCCAACAGTCAGGAATTCTGGGTGCTGAAGTACAAAACATCTGGAGAACCAAGGTATGGTAACTATTGGTCCAAGGTAAAGGTAGGAATGATGCAGCCCTCCAGTTGTCAGATTCATCTCCCTTCATTTCTTGCCATTGGTTATGCTGGCTAGAACAGCTGGGAGTTGCAGTCCACTGGAGGTCTGCATGATCCCCTCCCTGATCTAAGGCTTATGAGTCTGCAAATCGGCAGAGGGATATGTGTACCTCACACACACACACACACACCATCACCATCACCACCAAGTCTGTGTTGGTAACAAGATGGAACATATATAAATATTGTATGTTTTGTTATATATAATTCTATCCAAGGTGCCAGGTAAATACAGATTACATCTAGGGTGCTGGAGCAAAGAAACTGGTCACTAGTTCATTCCCACCTGTTGAAAAATATAAAGTCTACCAGTTATTCCAGTTCTACCTCTAGTCACTCTTAGGTTCTTTGGTAGTGGTGGTACTGTAGAAAAATACAGGGAAACATTTGTTGCTGTTGTGGCCTTCACATAACTTCTGACTTATGGTGTCCCTATTCTAGGGTTTTCTCAGTATGGTTTGCACAGAGGGGATTTGTAACTGTCTTCCTCTGAGGCTGAAAGAGTGTTGCTTGCCCAAGTGGGTTTCCATAATTGAACAGGGATTTGAACTCTAGCATCCCAGAGTCTTGGTCCAACAATGAAACCATCCCACTACACTGGCTCTAAGGAGAAACGTGGCATTTTATATTAACAAAGATGCTGATTTGTTTAGATGGCACACTAAATATAACAATAACAACAATAACACCACCACTACTGAGTCTTTGATTCTTGTATCTAAATCACTAGTTACTGAAAACTCTAGTTAGTAACATGTGGTAGACTGTGAAACCAAGGTTGCATTTGCACTGAATAAATAATGCAATTTGATAATGCAATAATGCAAACTACCATGGAATCCTATGGAATCCTAGGATTTTTAGTTTGGTGAGGCACCAGAGCTCTGTGATAGAGAAGAAATACCTCACAAAACTAGAATTCCACAATTCCACAGCACTGAATCAATGCATTGTCAAACTGCATTATTTATGCAGTGCAGATGCAGCCTGGTAACAATATAATGACCTATGGTCAATCCAGTTCTTAGTCCCACCTACAGCAGATCAATTTAATCAATGATAACTTGGTAAGTCAATTCTTATATACATTCAATTGACTCCATGGGCCTACTCTAGGTAGGGCTCACAATATGATTCACGCCAGATAATGCCATTTCCTGTAGGTCTCTCATTCCCAGGGTAAAGTATGCATCTATGAAACTGTGAACAATACCATCCAGAAAGAACCAGTATGCCTCTTGTCTGCATGGTCCTTTATGACAGTGACACATATAATCTTTCCTTTGGGTCCTACGTGCCATGTTTCACTTCCCCATCTCTAATGCTTGGTTATTTGCCAGAGATGCTGGCCAGCTACCAGAAGGCCTGGCTTCAGAGGGCATCACTCCTGGCCATTTATAGCTCAAGGGCCTGGAGTTGTCTTTCAGTATCTCTGTTTTAGCTTCAATGACATGCAAATGTATTTAAATAGAATCCGTTAATTAAATCAGTCACCACATAAGAGAGATATGCATCAAGTGAAATATTTAATCAGTGGACAACAGTTATTGAAAATCTAATTTCACTGCCTTGGGGGCCAGTGTAGTGAAAAGGAAGGATTTAAAATCATTAAAGAAACAAATACATAATGACATTTTATTTTAAAAAATGTGGAATGCACCACTTTGCATTGATTTAAAAAAAAGAAGACGGAGAGAAGAGGAAATTATTGTATTCTGATTAAAAGTTATATGTTAAACAAATATATGTTGACTTTTTAAAAAATGTGGAATGCACAACTTTGCATGGATTTTTTTTTTTTTAGAAAGGCAAAGAGAGAAAAGGATACTATTCCAGTCAAAAGTTACATGTTAAACAAATACATGTTGGCTTTTTTAAGAATGTGGAATGTACAACTTTGAATTTATTTATTTTTTAAAGACAAAGAGAGAAAAGGAAATGATTCTGGTTAAAAGTTATATGTTAAACAAATACATGTTGACTTCTTTTAAATGTGGAATGCCCAACACTGCATTTATTTATTTAAAGATAAAGAGAGAAAAGGAAACTATTCTGGTTAAAAGTTATATGACTTTTTTAAAATGTGGAATGTACAACTTTGCATTGATTTTAAAAAAGAGAAAGAGAAAGGAAAGGTATTGTATTCTGATAAAATGTTAGTTGTTAAATAATCAAATGCATAGCTTTTTAAAAAAAATACGGAATGCACAACTTTGCACTTTTTTTAAAGGAAGGAAAAGAGAGAGAGAAAAGGAAACTATTCTGGTAAAAAAAAAAAAGTTGTATGTTCCCCATCTTGATCGCCTTCTAGCCTTCTGTGACCCTTCAGCTGTGACGCATAAGGATGAGGAAGGCTCTCTCTATAGTTAGCACCATGCAAGTGGCAATAGGAGACTCCTGCTCCTCAGTCCTCCACAGACCAAGCGGGACTTTCCATCACAAGAAGCAGCTTTGCTTCAAATCCCACACCCTGTGCTGTCTCAGCAAGAGTCCAGAAGGTCCCACAACATGAAACACCCACATGGGCGGACACAGACACCCTCTTTCTCTTTCAGAGCTGGGATTATCCATCCTCCGCCTGCAAAAACCACACAACCCAAAAAGTGTGTGTGTGTGTGGTTTTATTCCTATATAAACATATGCACACAGAAGCACTTATTCAGGGAGAGAAATATCACACACCCTACACTCCTGTATATGTGAAAGAGAAGATGTAGGAGGGAGAGGAGAAATGGTGCACTGCAGGAGAGCTCTGTGATGGTCCGTAGCTTAGGCACCCAGATGCATCACAGGAGTGCTAAACAGACCAAAGAGTTGGCAATACATTTGCAAAAAAATAGGAGGAAGTTACAGAGAGAGAAGGAAAGGAAGAGAGAGAGAAGGGAGAAGGAACAGTCATTGTGGCACGCTCACTTTGTAAGATTATGAAACATACGTTTGTTGCCTCGCCTTCTTGTTGTCTCTGTCCCATTCAAAATATCACTTCCCTCAATCTATCAGAGGGGAGAAGAAGCTAATATATAAACATATAACATGTCCCCCCTTAATATATAAACATATAGCATGTCCCCACCTTCCCATGTCAATATCACAATCCCTTGTCCCAAAGATGTAGTTAGGTGTTTTCCAGAAGTGCTGAGTATGTAACAGTAATTTCAGAACTGAAACATATTTCATGGCTCACATGAAATATGGGACAAGAGATTCACAATCCCTTGTCCCATATTTTATGT